GACGCAGACCCTGAGAGAATACCGCGATACTGAAGAAAGAGGGGCCTGGGCCAGCTTGGTAGTAAATATAAGTGGGTTTATTAGGGTTTGTTGGGTTGTTTGGGGAGTTTATTCATGAGACCTAGTCCTTAGTAGCAGGAGGACAGAATGGTGTGATGGATCCCTGCAACAACACCAGGCCAGGCCAGGTATTACATAGAAACAGAACCAAAAAGGCACATAACCAGGGATGGCCTAGGGTCACGTGCAAGTGTTCCTGTGGGGTATTTGGAGCTTCTTTTGCTGTTTACTTTTATTCAAGGTAGTTTATATTCTCTGTGAGACTTGGGTCACATTCCTAGGGTCTGGCCTATCCTATAAATGAGTGAACTCAGATTTTGATAAGTAATGATAATAATAATAATAATAATAATAATAATAATAATGATAATGATGATGATGATAATGATTCTCATCACTTATGTAGTGATTGATATATATGCCAGGCATTGTGCTAAGAGCTTTAAGTAATATGCCAGGGGCCACATGGACAGTAAGTATCAAAGGCAGGATATGAACCTGGGTCCTCCAAATCTGGCGCACTTCTTTGCTGAAACACATTAATGTTATAGGTTATATATTATAAAAATTATGGTATTAACTATGATATGTCATATATTATAAAGATAAAATCTACATGGTGAAATATATTGTTCTGTTATAATAATATATTAACAAAATACAATATAATACCATGCCATGTTATTAAAATTTATCATATGTTAGTGTAATTATATTATGTGTATAATTATATAATAGATGATATATGATTATATATAATAGCATATTATTATAATAATAACTAGCATTTCTACATGTCTTTAAAGTTTGCAGAGCACAGTATAAATGGTATATCATTTGATCCTAACAGCAACCTTAGAGGGGGTACTATTATCATTTCCATTTTACAGATGAAAAAGACTGAGGCTTAGAGAGATTAAATGATTTCTTGTCCAGGTTTACCCAGTTAGTAAGTGTCTGAGGTGGAGTTTAAACTCAGTCCTCCTGACTCTGAATCTAATACTTTAATTTCTGAGTATGGTCAAATCTCCTTAATCTTAAAAAAAAAAAGTTTTCCTTTGACCCTTCTAATCAGGGGTGTGCTGATAAGAGCATAACAATTAGCTCTCCAAGGGAAAAAAAAAGTACATATATCAACTTTTAAGTTTAATCTGTATTGTTAACATTTTCCCATTACTCTAGACAATTAATAAAGCAATAAATCAAGCCCTGATTTGTAGCATTTTAAAATTTCTGTTCCACAAATGCTCCCACTGAAAAATTTAATAAGCAGCTCCTGTACCAGCTGGTTCCAGCACATCTCTGCTTCTAATCCACCTAGCTACCATCTCATCTTCCTCCCCTTCTCTGCTAAACTTTTTCCTTTATTTTTAATTTATGGAATAAAACAAGCATTTCCGTAACACAGTACAATAAAAAAGATGGTTGCACATGAAACTGCAAATCTACTATGCACAACCTGGTATTCCTTTCAAATATACAACAAAAAGTATCATGTAAGTTCCTTTTGGCACCCCGCCCCCCGATGGCTACCATTAGACACAAATGGGTGTGTGTGTGTGTGTGTGTGTGTGTGTGTGTGTGTATACACACACACACACACACACACACACACACACACATATATATATATATATATATATACATACACACATATGTAAAATTGTCCTATACGTACTTCTATTTATCTGTTTTTTCTCTGGGTGCAGATAGAGTCTTTCTTCATATATCCTTTATAGTTAATTTGGGTATTTATAATAATCAAAATAACTTATTTGCTCAAAGCCATTCTTAAAACAATATTGCTATTACTACATATAATATTCTCTTGGTTCTGCTCATTTCATTCTTCATTATTTTGAGCAAGTCTTTCTATGTTTTTCTAAAATCATTGAGCTCATCATTCCTTATAGAACAGTAGGATTCCATCACAATCACATACCACATACCACAACTTGTTCAGCCAATTGAAGGGCATCCCTGCAATTTCCACTTTTTTGGCACCATAAAGAGAGCTACTAAAAACATTTTAGAACATATAGGTTCTTTTACTTTTTCCTTAATCATCTTTGGAAGTAGACCATGTAGTGGTCTTGTTAGGTCAAAGGGTATAGGTTTAGCTCTGCTAAACTTAATTTTTTAATTTAATATTTTATTTTTTTCCCTAATTACATGTAAAAGCAAATTTTAACAATCATTTAAAAATTTTTTTGAGTTCCAAATTCTTTTTTTTCCTGTCCTCCTCCCCTCATTGAGAAGGCAATTTGATATAGATATATACATTTGCAATCATGAAAAACCTATTTCCATATTAGTCATGTTGTGAAGGAAAACAAAGACAAAAAACCCCAAGAAAAATAAAGACAATAAAAAGGTATGCTTCAATTTGCTTTCATCAATTTTTTTCTGTGAAGATGGATAGCATTTTTCATCATAAATCCTTCAGAATTGTCTTGGATCATTGTTTTGCTGAGAATAGCTAAGTCATTCCCAGTTGTTCATCATGATATATTATTGTTACTGTGTACAGTGTTCTCTTGGTTCTGCTCATGTCATTCTGTATCAGTTTATGTAAATTTTTTCAGGTTTTTCTGAGAGCATCCTGCTTGTCATTTTTTAAATAGCATAATAGTATTCCATCAATCACATACAACAACTTGTTTGGCCAAGCCATTCCCCAATTGATGAACATTCCCCTCAATTTCCAATTCTTTGCCATCTCTAAAAGAGCTGCTATAAATATTTTGTACATGTAGGTCTTTTTGTTTTTGTTTTTGGTTTTTTGTGTCTGAGATATAGACCCTAGTTAGTGGTATTGCTTGGTAAAGAGGTATGCATGGCCTTATAGCTGTTTGGGCATAATTCTAAATTGTTTTAAAGATTCACCAACAGTGCGTTAGTGTCTCAATTTTACCACATACTTTCCAACACTTGCCATTTTCCTTTTCTGTTATATTAGCCAATCTGATAGGTGTGGAGTGGTAGCTCAGAGTTGTTTTAATTTGCAGTCTGCTAAACTTCTTAACAGAAATTATCTATACAAACAACTAGTGCAGTGTTGTTACCACCTTGTTAAATTTGATCTTCAGGTATTTAAAAAAAACCCAAGAGAAATTTGCAGTTTCTTATACAAGAAACTTTCTTGGTTGTTTTTTTTTAAAATGTATATTGAAATGTTGATGATTGTTAAGGTCACATTAAAAATAAAAATCTTAAACAGTTGCCTATGCCTGATCTCTATTTCTTCCTTACCAACTCTGTCCTCAACTCTTTGCAGTCAGGTTTTAAGTGACCCCCAAATGTCAAATCATTGGATTATAGTCTTTTTATTTTCAATACTCATCTTCCTTGACCTCATTGCAGCTCTTGACACTAATTTAACAATTATTTTTTATTGTGAACTTAAGAGTCATTATTGAAAGCAAGTGTTTCGATATGCAAAGAATAAGAAAGAGGATTGTAAAATCTTTCAGTATCTTCTTCCCTTTCTCATTAGGATAACTCATAATTGTAAAATGTACATACATAATTGTAACTGTCAATTATAGCATATCATGGCCAGCTGAAAGCTGGCCTCACAGTCAGGAAGAGCTAGGTTTAACTTCTGCCTGGGATACATTATTAGATGTATGACCTTGGGCCTCTTGGGCCCCCAGGAAACTTTTTAAGACTTTTAGTTGTTAAGGAGGTACTGCTCTGCATTGGTAGAGGGAGCTTCCTGCCTGAGAGTTGCCTGTGCCAATGAAGTCTGACCTAAAATCATCAGAACCTCATTTTTGAGAATCTTCCATCCCCCATGAGATCATTCCTATCTTTTCTCTGAACTCCTTCAAGTCCGATTTCTGAAAATCCAGGATGCATGACCAGCTATGTTCTTCGGCCATTAAAAACTCCAGGATGACCCGGTCACTTTCCCAACCAGAATTTGTGAAGTACTTCCTTATTTACTAGCTATGGGACCCTGGGAACGTGATAATTTCTTTGAGACTCAGTTTCCTCATCTATAAAATGAGGGGTTTGGATAAGATGATCACTAACACCCCTTCTAGTTCTGAGTCTGTGATTCTGTGATAGAGTAGTGAGATGATATGGTGGTTAGAGTGCTGGTCTTGTAGTAAAAAAGACCTGAGTTCAAATCCTGCCTCAGACACTTACTAGCTGTATGATTCTGGTCAAGTCATATAACTCCAGTCTGCTTCAGTTTCCTGATCTGTAAAATGCAGATAATAATAGCGCCTACCTTCCAGGGTGTTGTGAAGCTCAAACAGATAATATTTGTAAAATGTTTTGCAAACCTTAAATCATTATTTAAGTTTAGTTTCTGTCTTAGTTTTCTTATCTGTAATTTGGGGATAATAATAGTGCCTACCTCCCAGGGTGAGGATCCAGTGAGATAATATTTTAAAAGTGCACTGCAAACCTTAAAGTGCTCTATAAATGCTAGTATTTATTATTGCAATTATTACTTTTTCATGGTCTCAGTTTCCCTATCTGTAACATGAGGGGCTTGGACCTGATGACTCCTCAGATTGCCTTAGGGTTATCAGTCCATCTTGATGCTGGGATTCACTATAGCATTCTGACATCCAAAGAAATAATGATACCCCCCAAAATAGAACGCATTGGCAAAGTTTGTATGTTTGTGCAATGCTTTCAAGCTAGTCATTTCCATCAGAAGGAAATGAAGTACAGTGTTTTCTGAGTCAAACCAAACAAATGCTAAGTAAAGTCATTCCTTCTTCTCCTCCTCCTTCAACTTCTCCTTCTCCTCTTGCTCCTCCTTGTCTTCCTTCTCATCCTCTTCTCCTCTTTCTGTTCCTCCTCCTCCTCCCTTTCTAAGCATCATGCTGCATTTTATTCCTATTTACCCCCTGCCCATATCTCACTCCCCATATCAACCCCTTTTCCTTTTTCTCTCCTTTTGTTTTTCCTGATTGTAGATCCAAGTGGAGAACAGAGTCATGGCTCTAATAACATTGCTGAGCTAAGCCCTGGAGCAATCGATTCTTGTCGCAGTGAGTACCATGCTGCCTTTAACAGCATGATGATGGAGCGCATGACAACAGACATCAATGCCCTGAAGCGGCAATATTCCCGAATTAAAAAGAAGCAGCAGCAGCAGGTTCACCAGGTGTACATCAGGGCAGGTAATGGTGAAGTTTTGCTTGATCCAAACCACTGTGAATAAATGAAGCAAAGAGCCCTTGGTCATCTAGCCAATGGCAGTACAGCTCCTGTAGTCCTGTGGAAGCAACTACATGCTGAGCATATCATTTTTATCTTGTTTTATCAGGCTCCAAAGAAGAAAAAGATCTTGGGGTCTTGTTAAATTCCAAGGACCACCCGACCAATGGTATTTAAACATGCCTTTGATCACTGGGCTTATGGAGATGGGCTTGCTGTTGATTCTGATAAGTGTAAATCTATTCCGTCCTTGGACTTGAGCCTCTTTTTTGTCTTTTGTCTTTTAGGTATATTGCCCCTGAAAATAAAATTTAATGAAATCAGCATCAGTAAATCAAATCACACCCCAGTCATTTATGTAACAAACTTTCCACCAAACCTGAACCCTTTAAAAAGACATACCATGACAATGAGAAAGTAAAATGCCATGGAATTCAGTGAGCTCTCTTAATTAGGGCAAGGTGCTGTGGATGTCAGAGCTATGGATTTATAGATTCTGTGACTTCAGTTTACCTTTCTCCCTTCTTGCTCCTGATCACATGGTAAACTGAGTGAGCGAGAGTAGGCAGTCCAGCACAAAACTATTACCACTGCTGGAAAAACCATTCAAAGACATGTGCCCTGCTATGGTAGGTCGGTAGTATCTTAGTGTCCAAAGGGTGACATGTTTCTGGTACGATTTTGTGGCACTCTTTTCCAAGGATTTGTTAAACATTTTTTGATTTTCCATAATCCCAATCATCAATGTGGTTGAAGGCTGAATAAATTCTGCTTTTGGGTTGATTCTGGCCAAATAACCTTATGAAAATGATATCTTCTCAAAACTAAACCAAGACATGCATTTAACATATTCTTTAGATATCTGTCACTGATTTTGAACAGAAACTGAATTTTTGTTGCTTAAAGTAGAGGAATGGTGAGAAACAACATGAAATGACAGACTAAATTTTAAATCATCAGTAATAAAAAGTAGGGTGCTTGGGCTTATGGGATATTACTGTTAGTTAATAAATGGCCCATTGGCTCATGCTCTGGATCCTAGGAAATTAAGTACCTTCATGGATTTAGAGATGGAAGGGACCTTAGAATCAGCTAGTCTTATTTTATAGAAAACTGGTTTGCTCAAAGGTTTACAGTACAAAGTAGGAAGGGTAGGATTTGAATACGGGTCCTTTGATTCCAAATCCAGCATTTTCTTCTTTGTATCACATTTAGAAACAAATCTCATGGAAGCAGTTAGTACAACTTGTGTTTAGACTAACCCAGCAGAACCGGGACCAGGGACTAGATATTCATAATCACCGTGGCCCCTCTGTTTCCATTGCCTTCATCAGGATACTTGTCATTGTCATATCAAAGAAAATTGTAGTCACTGCAGTCAGTATCTTTCCTCTTGTCCACCCTCATTCACTACCAGATGATAGCTATTGGGCATTATGCCATATTCACAACTCTAAGGGTTTTTTAAAATTTTTAAAATTTTTTTTATTGGCAATTGGGGTTAAGTGACTTGCCCAGGGTCACACAGCTAGTAAGTGTTAAGTATTTGGTCTGAGGTTGGATTTGAACTCAGGTACTCCTGACTTCAGGGCTGGTGCTCTATCCACTGCGCCACCTAGCTGCCCCCCACAACTCTAAGGTTTACAAATAGATCTTCTTCCCTTGCTTACTTCAGCTTGCTGCTACCAGCATTGGGAGATTGAAGAGGATATATGTAGCAGAAAGGGATGGAATGATGACAGCAGAAGACAGATGTGGAATGAAAGCCAAGAAGAAGTCGTATGGATGACTTCTCTTGGCTAGGATTGGGGAGGCTGGTTGACTGTGATTATGTGGAATTTTTGATACACTTCCATGACATCTCTTATCCCTCTGGATCTTACATCAAGGAAAAATAATGTTTATTTTTCCTTTCTCTTAAAATTCTGACAGCTCTTATCCCATTATTGTCATAGTTTCTTGTCTTGTTAGCTTAAAAAAACCCCCAACAACAAAGCTCCCATTTTCTAGCTACTGTGCCATTTAGGTGGTTGCTTGTAAACAGAAGATTACTTTGCCAAAGGATGAGCTTCAGGGAGTAGCTTGTGATTAGTAAATGAAGAGTGGGAAGCTCTTATGCCATAGATTGCCTTATCCCATGAAAGGAGACAAGATGGTGGAGTGTGAAGAGCACCCAATTTAGAGTGAGAGGCCTGGCTTTGAATCCTGCTTCTATCACTGTCTGTGTATCTTTAGACAGGTGATTTATCCTTACTTGGCTTTAGTTTTGTCAGTAAAATGAGGTGGGACTATATGACCTCTAAGGTTACCTCCAGGCTTAAGTCTATGATTCTATGAAGAACTTGGACATGAGCAATGGAAAAGAGGGGATCAGATCCATGGAGTATATGGAATTCAGCTTTCAATAAATCTGCTAACTATTGGGTCGATTCTAGTTGAATAGCCTAATGATTTTGCTCTCAGTCACATTATTTTGCTCTAAGTAGAGGGATGGATGGGCTGTTATACAGTGTCTATGTGGTGGTGGATAACCAACCTCTCTGAGATGAAAATGTCTCCCTGTGTTTTTTGCACATTTCACATGCACTTTTAACATTTCTTTCAGATAAAGGGCTAGTGACCAGTCTCCTCCCATCTCAGGTAAATCATTCTCCAGTTATAAATCACCTTCTTTTGGGAAAGAAACTGAAAACGACTAACAGAGCTGCCAAAAATGCGGTCATCCATATTCCTGGTCACACAGGAGACAAATTGTCTCCCATTCCCCATGAAGACCTTAAGACCAAACTCAACTCTCCTTGGCGTACCCACATCCGTGTTCATAGGAAGAACGTAAGTAGGACCAAGAGCCAGCTGGGCTGTGGGGACACTATCGGGCTGATTGAAGAGCAGAATGAAGGCTGTAAGACCACCGGCCTGGGAGCAGCAGAGAATATGCCCCCCACCAGCGTAGAGAAGGCTGGGAAAGATGGCGGCAGCTCTGAAGACAGCACGAGTAGGACAGTTGAGGGACAGTCTCCTGAGCCTGTGTTTAGAGATGCCAATGCAAATGTGGCAGAGGTCCAGCTGAAGCTAGAATCTTTGGAGCTGAATGAAGGGAGTGCTGCCGAAACACAACCCAGAGCTAACCAGACCTGCCCCCAGCATGGACCCGAGCCATCAATCCCTGTCAAGCCTCCCCAAGCCAGCTATCCAAAAGCACCCGTCTTTAGCCCCTTCCCTAGTGTCAAGCCACTTCGGAAATCAACCGCGGCCAGGAATTTGGGATTATATGGCCCAACAGAAAGAACCCCAACTGTCCACTTCCCCCAGATGAGCAGAAGCTTCAGCAAATCGTCCAGTGGTAACAGCAGTACTAAAAAGCGATGACATCCTATTGGCGCTGTACGGTCTGGGCCATTCCTTTTTTTTGATAGTGCTGTGGGTGTTCAGTCTCACAATCTGCAAAAGAATTTTTATTTTCCAGGTCAAAAAAAAAAAGCAAAGGGTTGGGCAGAGAAGAGTGCAAAAACCAGCGTTATGAGAATTGTAATTCTCCCAACAGGAGTTAGAAAGGAGAGTTGCAGTGTGGGACAGAGAGTGACCATGTCCATATAGGAAACAAAGGGAGTAAAGAAGATTTTGTGGAACAGTAGACTTGTGTGGTTTTGATGTGAAGGATGTTTCTACTTTTTCATTGTGAGCTGTTTAGAAAGGCTTATCTTTCTCCAGACTGTTAACCCTTGTTCCTTCCTCCTATGTTGTGGGCCTCTAGGGTCCCAGTGACCACTCTCCAAACTTCCAGTTTGTATATTTTATCAGCATTCACACAGGTACACATTTGCTTGCTGTGACAAGAACTGTGGAATATAAGATTTCTTATCAGTTTCACCAGCTTCCTTCTTCCCCGTGTGTATATGTGTGTGTATGTGTGTGTGTGTGTGTGTGTGTGTATACATATTTGCATATGAAGGCATGTTTTCCCTGTGATGATTTCTTGTAGCTAGTGTCAAATTTTCATTTTATCCTCATGCCAAAAGGCCTGGGTGGAAATCTAGAAAGCCTTTCTATAACTTTGTAATTTTGCCTAGTTACCTACTGAATGCAAAACAGTTTCATTTGTGGACCCCATGTCTGGCTTACAATTATACTCGTAACTCCTGATCCACAGAACGTGGTTGGGTTGTGCATTAATAGCACTTGGTGTGTGTGCTTTCTTCCCATTGAACAATTCCCAAGTTGCTAAATTTGATTCATTTTAAATTTCTTTCACCTCACGGATGTACTCCAGTTGTCACTGGTATTCATGACTCAATAGTTGGTGATTTAGTTTGTTAAGACATTCTCAGTGTGCTACAAGCGTGCACAGATACCGTGATGGCTCTTGCACTCAAGGGGTGTTCATCTTCAAAAGCTAAGACAAATGTAGCTACAAATACACTGGTTACTTGAAACCTGGGCTCTTGTGGAGAGAGCACTTTGTCACCAGAATATGGCTTTGTTTCAGAGGAGGGCGACTATGTTCTCAATCTTTGCCTTGTTCATTCATCACCAGGGCAGAGCCCTCTGTAAGCAAGAATACAGCCGCTATCTCCACTTTACAGATGGAAAGTGAGCCGCTCATACACGCCAGTGAGTCAAGATAAACATCCCCTGGTGATCATTTTGACTTAGACCTGTCTCCTTCAATTGATAAGCAGGTACACTGGTCACAACAATGTCATCACTGACACTGAAAAGCCATTTGCCAGGACTGTGTAAGTGACCCCAAGACCTGTGGGGTAGGTTTTTTTCTGCCAAATGGGACAGAGTCCTGCCATGGAGTGCCAGGGAACCAACTCAAATTTTCTGAGCCTTACAAGGGAGCTTATTCTTCATGCAGCTGTCTTTTGGCAAAACAGGAGGTCCATTTCTCCTGCAATCTCTCAAAGGAAACAGATTGAGCCTCTTTCAGCTTAGTCTGCAAAAAGCAGGCGGAGACGCTTTTAGAATTGCAAGAAGCATGAATTCTATTGCACTTGGGTTGCTGATGCTGAAACTAAATTTTTATAATGATCTTTTTAGGATGAAAAGGATGTGATTTGTGTGGGGGTAAAGGGAAGATTAAAAATGATGCATACAGTGAAGGAAAGAGAGCATTATTATTTTATCTTCCCTTTTCTCCCCCTCCCCCAAGAACTAAAAATCGAAAAAATATGACAAATAATTCATGGCAGCTTTTATCTTGAGTTTCATGACCTCCAAAGGCAACTTCTCAGGAAAAGGAGAGAGTGGAGGCCTACTTGAGATGTCTCCCACCCCCACCCCCAAAGAGACCACTTTTTCCGAAGTGAGATTGGAGTTTTTCTTCCATCAGTTAGATTCTAAGGATAAAAATAGCACCACCTAAAGTCTATTTCATCCTCCAGTCTCTCCCCACTCACCTAAGTGACTCATAACCCTCATTTACTCACTGCAACTTTAACTATCTCTGGCTCCATTTCAGAATGTATCTCAATCCTTTCTTCTTTGGGTTGAATTCATGACCAGCCCAAGACAAAGAACAGAGGTTCTGAATCTGGGGCCTGTAAATTTGTTTTTTTTTTTTTTAAATTGATTAACTCTATTTCAATATAATTGCTTTCCTTCGTATGTTATTTTATGCTTTTAAAAATGTGATTCTGAAAGGGGATTCATAAGCTTCACAAGATTTGCCAAAGAGGTCCATGACACAAAGAAGGTTAAAAACTGACATAGAAGGAGAAAAGGCAGTGAGGCATCTCTTTTCCTTAAGGATTGGAGCTAGTCTACTGAAATCTGAATCCTAGTCTCAGTTCATTGGTCCTCTAAGGACTTCTTCTGATCCTTTCCAGGGATTGATATGCTTAGTTCTTAAGAGGGAAGTCCACCATTTCAGTACCTCATTCACTGTAACAATTCCTCTGAATCAAGACGACCCAGACTTTAAAAAAATTCTGTTCCAGGTATTAAAAAAAAAATTAGAGTTGACAGATTCTTTTTAAAGAAGACTTTTGTACCAGCCAAACTCTCATTCAACTCAACAAACATTTATTAAGAGCGAGGCAGTGTGAAAAGACTGGCCTAAAACATTCTGTATTCCAGGTAATTACAACTATGAATCAATTAGATTAGGCCCCCTTTCCTGCTTTATAGACTAAAACAAGCCTGTGTAGAATTATACTGTATGTAGAAAGACTTATTCTAGTCACTGTCACCCTTTTACACATTGGGATTGGTATGCAGCCAGCAGAAGTAATTAAAGGTCTCTTTATTTCCAGCTTTATTGATACTGTATTCTCAAGCATTTCCCTTGGGAGTTGATTCATTTAGATGTTTTTGCACCTCCTTTTCCCTCTTATGTCAATCTTTGAAATACCTGAATCTAATTGTGCATGTTTACAACATTATATTGCTTCCGACCTTCACCCCCTTTCTGTGGAAAGCTATATGGATCACAAAAGTGTATACAAGGTACTTCTCACCATGGCATGTTGATGGATGCCCTTTCATAACTCCAAGCAGACGTAGAACAGCTCATGTCCCTTCCACCCATTCACCCAGACTCAGAAAGCATTGTAAGATGCAGCTACTATAAAGCATGGATGAACACAGGTTTGCCCATTGTCTTGTCAATGATGGATTCTGATGGCAGCTTAAAGCACTTTTTAACTCGGGGAACAGAGTTGGGAGGTGATCTTTAAGAGACAGGATTTTAGCTCCAATTTAGCCCCAATTGGGATGGTGATGTTGTAAGAATCTCAGTGAAGGAGGAGTATCTGAACTGAACACAATTTGGAGTTGTGGGACCAAGAGGAGCATGATGATTGGACTTTTCCTTCTGGGGTGTGTGTGTGTGTGTGTGTGTGTGTGTGTGTGTGTGTGTGTGTGTGATTAAGAAGCTCATTTTGAAAGTTTATATTATATCGGATGCCTTCTGCATGGCAAGTAGTCCGGATGAAAGTTGGAATTGGCAGGTGGGTGAATGGAAAGGATGGAGGAGGGCATTTATAAGCATAAAGATACATTGAATGTCACTTTAAAAATGATCTGATGTTTTCATAGTATACAGTCCACCTATTTTGAAGTCTGTGCTTTTTACTGTGCATCTCACTGGGATATTTTGTGACTGATATTTTCTTGTCTTTTGTCAGGCCTTTGTGGAAAAACCAAAACAATTTTTTTCCTGTTTAAATACTTAAAGAATGATTATGATTAATAAAACTGTGAATTTTGGATTGTACTGACTGGTGGTATTTGGCCCAGCCCTATTTCTGAAAAGTGAAAAGGTGAGAATCTGACTTAGGATACCCATGTACTATCTAGAGGTCTTATTAACCTTTTAAAATAAAAAAAAATCTTCCCCAAATTAGAATCAACTTATACAACCATTTACATAGGCAGCTGGGAGCCCTTTCTGTACTAGATTGCAGTAGTAAAGAGGATAACCAAATGACATAGGGATGTGGGTAAAAACCAAGGCTAGCATGATCTCCCCTAGCTTCAGACTAGAGGAATTTCTCCTGCCCAACTGCCCACGAGTTAGGAGGGATGACCTGTACACTGACTCTACTTGTACCCTTTGATATCTAGACATGGGAACCCAAGACAGAAGACACCCAGTGCCAGCACAAACATGGTCATATGTGTTCCCATAAACAGAGAACAGAGGAAACCTTGATAACATTTGCCTCAAGTATCAGGATATTTTATATCAAAATTAGTCTATCACTGAATTGCGTAGAACGACTTCAATTCTGTGGTTCACTGGACCCTATTGTTAACTGATATATGAGACACTGAGGTAAGGGATGGGGGAGTGATTGGGTTCATTCCTTCTCTGGAGGGATTTATAAAGTCATTTCTTCTCATTGACCTAGGATGGTTTGGGTGCTGTACTACTTGAAAAGTCAGGAAGACAACTTCCTCAGGGATTCTAATTCTATGTTCTCATTGTCTCTGTTCTTACTTGTCAAGTCCTATTACTTCATAAGATGATGCCCCGCTATAGTTAGCATTATGCATCAGCAGTAATTTGTGTTTCTTTGCTAACTGTAAGTTTTAGGTGATAAGAAAGAAAATTTGGGGAGGCAATTAACTCATAAATTTAGCTAACAATACTCTCTTGGTTTCAGCCAGTGGCAGAGTTTTAAGTTCCAAGATCCCTGTGAAGATGGTATGAAACCTTAATTGCCATTACAGATATCATTGCTTGGTGCCATGGGCACTCCCCTTCCTTTTGTGAATGCCTAAATCCTGCAGAGACTTCTCAGGCATTACCTATATCTATGCTCCCAACAGTATAAGTACATTTCATAATGTTCCCCTCACTGCCTCCCTAGTACTGCTAAATGTTACTCATTGCTCATTTGTAATATTGATTCTTTGTAACTCATTGACTCTTGCAGCGTTATTTCACCTAACGGGACCCCACAGAAACAATGAGCAGTGATAATTGGGATATGCCTATATTTTTTCAGTTTTGAGTCCTTCTGTCTTATTGCCACAGAGAAAGAGTTGTCTGTTTTTAATCTTAAAAAAAAAATACTTACAAGGCAACAGTAAGAGATACCCCATGGTCCTGGCTGAAACTTTACACCAAAAACCAAAAGCCGGGTGACCAAATATTATCTATGGGGTGGAGTTATGTGTCTGTAAGAATTATTTGTGGAAAAACTCCCTTTCTAGACTACTCCAAGAGGGAAGGGTTTCTTATTCCCTCTCTTTTGGCCTCCACCCTTGGAATGTAGAAATGTTAAGTACTTTCTCCCACCAGACATGACCTACTCTCTAGTTACTGTCCTTGGCTTTACCTCTTCAAAATGATATATCTGAGGGCTGGAGGGTGGAAGAGCTGGGCTCAGTGTAACAGCCTAGCCTCCACTAGACCACCAAACTGAAAGGAAACCCTGGACTCATGTTTTACACAACTTTGGGAAATCCATAGAAATATCAAAATCAACACAATTCCCTCTCATATAGACCTCTGCCAGGGAGGAAAAACTCCTTTTCTACCAATAAATTTAGATAGAGAAGATTCTTGGTCTCTATCCTCTCCACTCTCTTTGCATAGAGTGCCAGTTACTGTTCCCTCCTTTGCAAATCCCTATTCACAAATGATAAAATGTAAACTGGACAAATTGTGATTGATCACATCCTTAGCTGATTTGGCATTACAGTTATCCCTTTCACATCATGACTTTTCCCATTACGGTTTCCATATATTTCGAGTCAGCATAAGAAATTAAATGAGAATATTTGGGGAATTTTGTGGAAGCGGCAGATGACGTGCAAAGGCCAGCAGACGATGCAGATCCTATGAGCAAATACTTAACCCAATTTTACAATAAGGTACTGTAAACACACTGCAAAAGAAACAAACAAACAAACAAACTTAGACATTTCTGGTATTGAGGGCCAAAAATTTTTACATGGATTTTTCAGATCTCAGGGCTGCTGTGCCCCTAACCCCGGCAATACAGAAGGAATAACTGTAGTGCTAATTAGAACAAATAGAAACTTATCACCGGGCAGATTGATTTGGGTTTTGGATATTCAATACCTTTTCAGCTTGCTCTCAGTTTCCTCTCCCCTCTGATTGGAGGGTTGGAGGGTGGAGTATCAGACTCCTCCCAAAATCTTCATCTACAGAGGTCTCACCAGCTTCCCATTAACTCCATTTTCTATCAGCTGCTCTCTTTGACTTCATCTTCATAGAACCTCATGCGCCTTGGTTCCCCACCCACTTTTCAATTCCCTTTTGTGTGTTGTCTTCCCCCATTAGAGCTCCTTAAGGGTCCTGGTACATAGTAGGCACTTAATAAACTTATTGAATTGAATTGAACTTTTAAAGAACAGGAGAACTTTGGATTTAATATACACTGTCTAAGACAGCAAGTTATGATAGGTATTTCAACATCTAGTAGCTATTCTCCTAAATGAAAAATGACCACTGGAGGTGTGAGGATGGCTGCTGTGCACGGAACTCCATCAGGTTCCATGGTGGCTCCCTGCTTCAACGCCTCTAGCCTCTTTTATCCCGTAGTCTCTTGATTCAACTTCCAATTGTCTCATAACAGGCCAGAAGGGGTGAGGTGGAGCAGCAGCAGCAGAGCCCCTTATCTATTCAGACTACTTGCCTGTGGTCTTCATTAGTCTCTTTATGTTTTCTCTTTTCCTTGAATTTCCCAACCATTGAATTCAGGCAAGTCGTCGACTTGCATGATTAATTTTCCTTCCAGTCTGGGGAAACAACTTCAGTTTTTAAATCTTTTACAACCTCATGTAGCTATGCACTGAGAACTCTCTCTGTCAGAGGAAATTCATCTCCAAGGCTTTAGGGCTTCCAGGCAAGTATCAGAATGTTGAATTCACTCCTAGTTCCTTCCCTTTTATGATTCCCTGAACCCGATTGTTACTTATATGTGAAAGACTGAAATGAGTGACTAGAGAAGTGGTAGTATTGTCTCCTTTTCTGGAGGACTTTAACATCTTCTCATTAACAAGAGCATTTATTTGGATACTATACTTCTTGAAAAGGTAGGAAGACACCTTCCTCTGGGAGCCAAAAATATCTCAATGCTTCCTGATGGTTATGCTGGGGCAAAGCTGCTGGAGAGAGCTGGACATTTAAAACTTCATGGCCCCTTCTCAAAAGAAAAGAGTGAATAATAATTGTGTTTTATTATTGTGTTTAAGTAAGAATTAAGTATAAATTGTGTTTAAGTAAATTACTTTTTTCATTTTAAATTAAACTTTTTTTTCAATGAACAAAAGTCTATTTTCTCTCCTTCCCACTGCTCTACTCCTCCCAATGGGAAAACAACAACAACAACAACAACAAAATCCTTGCAACAAATATGCATAGTCCAGAAAAACTAATTCCCACTTTGGCCACGTCCAAAAATATATGACTCTTTCAGCACACTGAGTCCACTACCTCTCTGTCGGGAGGTGGATAGTATGTTTCAACATAGCTCTTCTGAAACTCTGGTAGGCTCTTGTGTTGATTCGAGTTTGTAAGTCTTTCAAAGTTATATTTATAATGTTATTGTGTAAATTGGTCTCCTGTTTCTGAAATGATTCAGTTACTAATGAAATGTTATGAGGGTTTAGGCTGTGGTAAAGCTTAAATTAAAAGGCTACACTGACACTGGGAAGATTGAAGGGAGAGGGAGGAACTGTTGATTACTCATAGCAGTCAAAGGAACCGCTGGAACTCTCTCATACTCTGCCATGGCACTGACATTGATTGTGGTAGGATGGAAACGATGCTAAATTCATAGTCAGAAGGTCTGGGTTCAAATCCACTTAATTTGTTCATTCTTAAGATTGCAAATCACTTAACCTGTCAGGGTCTTGGATTCCTCATCTGTAAAAGGACAATGTCCCTTGAAAGTTTAAATCAATGATGTTACCTAGTTTTCCCTAATAATTTGCTATATTAGATTTCCTGCCATTTCCAAAGCAAAACAAACAAACAAACAAAACCTCAACTATCCAATCTCTATAATAATTGGCATTCTACATTGGCACCATGGTGTACATATGGAACCAAGAAAGACCTGAGTTCAAATCCTACCTCTGACACTAGTTGAGTAACCCTGGCCAAGTCACTCAACCATCTTTTAAATGGGGATAATAACCTGTGTACTACTTGTTGTTTAGTAGTTTTGGTTGTATCTGACTCTTCATGACTCCATTCGGGGTTTTCTTGGCAAAGGTACTGGAATGGTTTGCCGTTTCTTTCTCCAGTTCATTTTACAGATGAGGAAACTGAGGCAAAAGAATCAAGTGACTTGTCAAAGGTCATATAGCCAGTAGATATCTGAGGCTGGATTTGAACTCAGGCCCTCCTGACTCCATGGCAGGTGCTCTATTCATTTCACCACCTAGCTGCCCTGTGTACCCTCTCTATAAAAGCCTTACTCTGTTGTTTTATCATGGTATAGTAGTGATACTGGGTTCTCAATGGATATACTTAGTAAAGTTCGAGATCTGACATGATCTACCAAGCTAGAAAGGCTTCAGCTATGGGCCTGCTAACGAATTGTCATCCATAGACCTAAGTTAGGATAAGCCCATCACCAGTTTGGTTGCAGGGAGGAATTTTCTGCCACTGCAGTTTTTGAAGACAGTCTCCTAAGTTATGGAGGGGTTGTGAGCTGTGTTAGGGAAGGACTATACCAATGAAAATGCAGACCCTTGAAGTACTGATATACGTATCTCATGTGACT